GAAGTTCTGAGGTGTTTAAACCATTGAGGGTTTGTAAAATGCAGCGTAAAATTGGCATAGAGATCTGGTAGCAGTATGCGTGGCTTTTCTTCACACACCCCTTTTGTTTTTCAATCAAGTACAGTATGTACTTCAGAAGTTTACTACAAACTAAATGTGTTTTTTGTCCTGCCTGATGCTTTTCACATGAGATTTCCTACTTTCAGGATGTGGGCTTTCACCAGCGATTTTAGGTAGAATTTCTATGCCTCTCACTTACTTTCTATGCCTTTGCTGAGAATCCCCTCCATCCACCTCCTCCCAGCCCCCTGTCAGGATTGTTAAACTAGGGACCAACTTTTTTCACTAGTCAGAGTTCTGTGACAGATGATCAGATTAGCTAGTAAAAGCATTGAGGAAGAGGAAGATGGAGTAGGCCTGGTCACACAAATCAATTTGAAAATGATAAAAAAGGAAAGTACTTTCAGTTTATTTAATGACAATATGTAGAATATATAGGTGTGTGTGTGTGTGTGTGTGTGTGTGTGTGTGTGTGTGAATTTTTTAAAAAATTCATGTGATTAAAGTAAATTTGTGAGCTATATATTTTCCTTTTGATTGGGAAATAAAAAGGAATTTGGAGCCCTAACCGGTTTGGCTCAGTGGGTAGAGTGTCGGCCTGTGGACTGAAGGGTCCCAGGTTCGATTCCGGTCAAGGGCATGTACCTGGGTTGTGGGCACATCCCCAGTAGGGGGTGTGCAGGAGGCAGCTGATTGATGTTTCTCTCTCATCGATGTTTCTAACTCTCTATCCCTTTCCTTTCTTCTCTGTAAAAAATCAATAAAATATATTTTTAAAAAAAAGGAATTTGGAAAACAGTTTGGTCTAAGTGGAAGATTGATTTTTCCTCCTTTTGGTATATAACGATCAATAAAGTTTGTGTTGCTTATATAAATAACATCTGTTATGTAGCTGGGTCCAATCAAGTTATTTACCTTTATTTTCTTGCCTCGCATAGTTTTTACATTTTACTTTTGCTAGTAGAATATAATGTGTATAATTATGTTTTCTGGTGCTCTTAGTCCATTTAATGCTATGACATTTTTGTGTCTTCAAATGGCTTTCAAGCAGAATTACTTCTGCCCTTTACCCTTTTGGATAACTTTTACTTTCAAAGATTGACTATAAATGTTAAAATGGTTTATAGAAATAAGCTAGCCTTGATTTTCAATTGAAAGATTGACATAAATGACTCCTGAATAACTTTTTTAGTTAGCAGAATCATAAATACATGCTGATTTATAATTGCTGAACTGACAATAAAAATATTTAAGTGTTTGTCAGTTTGCTCTCCACTCTTTTCATTATAAAGAACACTGATTAAAAAAAGAAAAAGAAAGAAACACTACTTTTTTTTTTAGGCTCTTTTGTGTTTTTACTCTCCTGCCTGATAATTGGTACATATTCATTTCCTTGGGCAGCTGGAGAGCTGTTGGCTGATTCCTAGTGTGAAGCAATGGAGGAAACCTCTTGATGTTCAGGGTTAGTTCAAAGTTGTTACTTAGCTTGGGAACACAGGTCCTCTTTGGATTGTTTCCTTGGGAATATGGGGAAGATTAGTATGACTTAGTTATTACTTATGGGAAAGAGGATGGAACCACTTCCTATACAACGTTTCCTGCTTGCATAATTGATGCTGTCTTAGTTATGTAAACTAGCTATATGTTTGCCTGACATTTCATCTATGCCAATAGTAGGCCTTAAAGGAAGTGCTTCTCTATGACTATTCTGCTTACTCTCTGAGATGCTTGTGCAGATAATAAATGAGGAAGGAGGCCAATTTGATGATTGATTTTAATACATGTGGGCATAAAGAAACAACCAAACTTTTTTTTTTTTTGGCTAATCCTCACCCGAATATATTTTTTCCATTGATTATGAAAGAGAGAGAGAGAGAGAGAGAGAGAGAGAGAGAGAGAGGTTGAGAGAGAGAGAAGAGAGAGAGAGAGAGAGAGAGAGAGAGAGAGGGAGAGGTTGCCTCCCACAGGTGCCTCTGGGGTAGAGATCAAACCTGGTACGTAATCCAGGTACTTTCTCTTGATCGGGAACTGAACCCAAGACCCTTCCTTGCAAGGGTAAACCCTCTAACCACTGAGCCCCAGCCAAGGCCCAACTTGCATTTTATTTCATTCTTTAAAACATTTAATAATGTTTTCAGTGGATATTTGTTCCCTGCTGAGAATGCAGCTGTTTCATTTTAATTTTTTTATATTTGGAAGATAGAGCAAGGGGTGGGGGGACAAGAGTATCCCATAAAAACTGCAGAAGAACTTTATTCTATATTGTTTGTAATTTCAGAATTCTTGTTTAAAGGAGGTGCATAAGACTGCAAAATGGCCTAAGGCTGAAGATAGCATACATGCTTTCAGACTGAAACCAAAAGAGTACTTTGCTAATATTTGGTGCACTCTTCAAAATGAATGAGTTTGCTCATCAACACAAAGTTTTTACTTTTTTCTAGATGTAATAAAGCTGCTTTGTGAATTATCTGTACCAATAAGTAGTACTTAGTTCTCTTACTTGCTAGATTGCGTTATAGTTTGACATTTCTCCACAAGTCATCACCTTTATTTGACAGTTATTGTAGCTGAATAAAATATAACTTCAATGAGAATTGAAGGAATAAATACCTCTTCTTTTGTAGTGGAATGTGTTACTTCTCTTAGATACTTGATAACCAGAGATGCTGTCTCCACCTCCTCCAACCTTGTCATAAAAGAAGTGAGTTTCAGTCTTTTATACATGATATCAGCTAAAAGGCCAAGAGGGAATGGACTTCTAAGTCTTTTATGATAACACTAGAGGCCCAGTGCATGACATTTGTACACTGGCGGGGAGGAGGGGTGGGGAGGGAGAGGGTCCCTCAGCCTGACCTGTGTCCTTTAGCAGTCTTGGAGCCCTCGGGGGGGATATTCTTATCGCTGCCTGGAGGCGGAAGAGGCTCCTGCCACCGCTGCTGTGCTCACCAGCCATCAGCCTGGCTTGTGGCTGAGCAGTGCTCCCCCTGTGGGAGGGCACTAACCACCAGGGGGCAGCTCCTGTGTTGAGCGTCTGCCCCCTGGTGATCAGTGCGTATCATAGCGACCGGTCATTCAGCAGTTTGGTCCATTTGCATATTACTCTTTTATTATATAGGATTCATTGTTGTGGGGGGGGGGTTGTCTTTATTCTAAATACTATGAAGTCAGAGCTCATGTCTTTCATTGCTTAAATATCTAGGGGTGTTCTTTGGAACCTCATTCTTTCCTTTTACTGCTTTACTCACTGAAAGGAGTAATGGCCCTTCCTATACATAGCTACACCGATTTCCAAAAATTTATTTGAAAATGATTTTTTGAAATCTATAACACATTTTCTTATAGATTCACTCAACTGGGCTTGTTTGTATTGTGTATGTTTGTGCCTTTTGGGGAAATCTATTTTTTCAAACTCATTTTTTATTGTGAAATTATTCAAACATACAATTGAGAATAATATAACATCTGCATACTCTCCATTGGCATTATTAAATCTTAACTTCATGCTATGTTTTCAATTAATAAAATAACAGAACAAAGTACTATGGAGATGGATTTCTGCTTAGAACTTGTTTTGTATGGAAAACTGCCAGAAACAGCTTTTCCTGCTAGGGTGTAGGAATTCCCCCCGACCATACCCAGGGGAAGTTTTAGGATTAGCTTTGGGACAGAGTCCAGAAATGGGGGTGCAGAATAATCATTTCAAAGAAATGTAGTTCAGTCTCTGGTGCTGTCTCCTGCTGTAGTTGCAAACATGAGTGTAGTTAGGCTCTTGGGGCTGTGTGAGGGGAGAGCCGCAACTGTTAATGTAAATGCACAGATCAGTTGCTCATCAATCAGGGTTGCTGGTCACAAATGCATGTGCCTCGATCCCGAGATCACACACCTTCCCTGGGAGCGTCTACCACAAAGGGAAACGTCAGAACTGACTTATCCTGTGCCTCTAGGAGTGTTTGCATGAACCAATGTACATATGTGAAGTTTAGTAAATGGAGAAATCTTGAAACATAACAAAGCTTAGATCCTAAGTGTGTCTTTGCGGAGGCTGGGACACTCTTTGGGTACAGAACTATCATAAACATTCGATTAACCGGTTATTTTTTCTTCTCTTATTTCTATCTCTTGTAAGAAACTTTGTTAGTAATACTTATCCCTTTTCTTCAGAGCAATGGAGTTAATAAAGGGAAGAATATTTATACCCGTATCCTATATTCCTGCTACTTAAAGTGTCGGCCTGCTGGACCAGGCAGGCATCACCAGGGAGCTGGTTAGAAACGCAGAATCTTGGGCCCCCACGCACACAGACTGAGTCAGTGCATTTTAACTAGATCCCAAGGTGTTGTAGGTTAAAGCTTGATTCTATATGCTACGTGCACATTGTCAAAATTTTATAGAAGTTAAACTCCGAATGGGGTAAATAGTGGGTCATTTTTGGTCCGCTATCCTTAGAAGTTGGCTGTTAGGTGCCACATTCTTTAATGCCTTCATTTTTGGTAATCTCTAATAATATATCAGTTATATTCAAAATTGCTGATGGAGTCTCTCTTTCTTTTCATTTAGTTGCTTCATTTTTCTTGAAGACATTCCATTATTGTTCATTGACCTTTCCCTGACTACTGAGTCCTTTGGATTTGAGTTATGTCAACAGCTGCCTTAATTACTTTGGTTAGAAGTGGTGGGAACCAGGTGAGAAGGAGAGTGCTGCTAAGCTCCCGCCTGCTGCAGGATGACCGGCGGGTGACACCCACATGCCACAGCTCCACTTCAGAGCCCAGGTGTTCTCGGTTTGACCCAGATGGTAGTGGGCGTCCAGCCACCTGGGATAATTTTGGGATCTGGGACAACCGCATTGATGAGCCAATTCTGCTACCGCCCAGCATTAAGTATGGCAAGCCAATACCCAAGATCAGCTTGGAGAAGGTGGGCTGTGCCTCACAGATTGGCAAACGGAAAGAGAATGAAGATAGATTTGACTTTGCTCAGCTGACCGATGAGGTCCTGTATTTTGCGGTTTATGATGGACATGGCGGGCCTGCAGCTGCTGATTTCTGTCAAACCCACATGGAGAAATGCATCATGTACGTACGGTGATTTTCACTCTTGAACTTGCAGTCTGCCTTTCTGTTTAAACTTTAACCTTTTGGCGAAGATGTTCAGTGTTAATATAGTTATTTGAGTGGTTTTATAATTGTTTCATGAACAAGAACTAGCTTAAGCATTCCATTTATTACTGACGACTATTACCATTTCAGAAACATATGTTTTAACAACTCCCCTGGTGATAGCATTGACCATGTTAAATATAAAAAATTCAACAGAGCAAATTGTAAATATCTAATTGGCTTTATTGAATGATTCCTGAATCTGGCATCCCATCTAGCAAATAGAAAGGGGCTCCCAGGAGCTCAACCAAATGGAAGGCTTTTGTAGGCAGAGGGGAAAAGGGATAAGGAAAGAGCAGATTACTTCTCCCTTTGATTAATGGGAAGAGCCGATGTGGCAGGTTACCTCATTTGTGCTATCCAGGAAATTCCAGACTGACCAGTTGAGATTACTATTCCTGGGAAAGGTTGGAACAGCAATTGATTTAGGTATTAAGCCTTGTTTTGGTGATGTGGGCTTAGCACAAGTGACTCCATTTTGGGCCTATTGTTTCTTTTAACAACCAGAATCCATGGTACTTGATTTGTGATTATTTCAAGTGAATTAACATAAAGTACACGATCTCATGTGTTATAAGAATCTATTGGAAACATTTTACTAGTACATGGCACCTGGTGCTTCCATAAATAGTAATTATACTCTCAAGTGGCATGAATAGCTTTGAACACTTGTTGAAAATAGCTTTAGATAATTGGCATTCGTATGGGGGAAATGCATTTAATGTGGGTGTTTTGGAGCCCTATACATAGTTTATTTAATGCAATTAGTATAATGTATTTTTGAGGATCACACTACTGCTAGCATCGAAAGAGGGGGAAACGTGACAGAGTTGTGGCTATGACTATGTCTTGTCTTCCTGTGTATAGTTGTTCATACTGTTCATTAGTTGACTTAAGCGTATTTTGCCTTGTTCTGCAGAAGAACTCAGTGACTTAATTTAATAAGAAGAACTTGACCTTTCAGGGTAGTATGAGATGTATGAGGCTGCTGCTGGTGTAACATGGTTACTGTTTTACAGCAAACTTATTTCTGATACGTAGAGAGAGTACACTCTAAAATAATAAGCATAGAATAGTAAATCCATTAACAGTTGTTTATTATCATTATCAAGTGTTATGTACTGTACATGCCAGTAATTGTAGGTGCAGTAATGATTAATCTTCTAATATGGGAATTTAGACTTTCATTTTAGTGTCCTTAGAGGCTTTATCACTTAGGAGACACTTAACGAGCACCTGAGAGGCAAGCCATGGGGGTCCGTTGTAGGGAGTGACTGCTAGCTAGAATGACCTGAAGGAGAGGAGACGAGGGGAAGAGGAGACAACTATTGTAAAATGATATTTTGGGGCTCTTTTTTTTCCCTCTCCACAAAGGGATTTGCTTCCCAAGGAGAAGAACTTGGAAACTGTGTTGACCTTGGCTTTTCTAGAAATAGATAAAGCCTTTGCGAGTCATGCCCATCTGTCTGCTGATGGTAAGTAAAACAATCACATTCCTTCGGGTCCTGGGGAATATCTGGATAAAATGGAAACAATTTAAGCTCTTTAGGGGTGGGAATTTTAATGGAACTTTATTTGTAAAAATGTTTATGTGGAAAATGATTTTATATAAAGAACCACTTTAAATGCTGTTTGGAATCCAAACTAATGATAGTACCTCCCTTTTAAATGAAATATGTGTATTGGAGAATTTTTCGGAAATTGAAGCTTCAAAATGGTTCTGATATTGAAATCAATTTTAAAATATTTTAAAAAACTTTTTTATCTGTTTGAACATTTTATGGACAAGATATCCATACTATGAGAGGGCTTATTATTTTTGTTTAGATGAATCTGATGAACAAATAATTGAAATACACCACACATAATCTCATCTAGTCAGGACAGTTATTGGTCAGGCAAGGAGAAAATTGTTAATTGGTCCTAGACAGGAAAGGACAATGACTAGCACATACTACTTTGTATAATTAGAATGAAGATTTTTTCTCCTCCTTCTTAAAAAAAACTTGATCTTGCACATTCCTGTTGTAACTAGTGATATTTTGTTTTTGTGTTAAACACAAGGTGAATTTAAAATTTTGTGTGCTGCTTGTTCTTAAATATTGAAAGTACATAAATGTTTCTGATTTTGACTAAATTTATCAAAACCATTTCAGAAAACGTAGTTCATGTTTTCTAGTTAGCCTGCTCCCATAGTTTTTGCTTATAAAGTTAATCTCGAAAACTTCTGCAACAACCATATAAATGTATGCAGATAGCATGAAAATGAATCATGCAATAATATTAATGTATGTTTGGTTCATCCTTTTGTTTAAAGTGCACCACAGAAATGTCATTTTCACAATTTTGGCAATTCCCCCCAGTTCCAAGATAAGAAACTGAAACTCAGAGAGAGACAAAGGGCAGTTGCTGGGGTTTTCCTGCACCCACTGTGGCCTCTCTCCAGGGCATATTTAATGATGAGGATTAGAGAAAATGTCTCTAGGATGACTCATTAAGAGGATTTTCTGCTTTTTAAAAAAATTTATATGAGCAGGGGAGAGAGAGAAACATTGATTTGTTGTTCCACTTATTTATGCATTCCTTGGTTGCTTCTTTGGGGATCAAACCCTCAACCTTGGTGTATCCGGATGGATGATGCTCTAACCAACTGACCTACCTGGCCAGGGCTTCCCCCTCATTATTGAGGAACTTTTCATTGTCATAAGCCTCAGAAAAGCATTAGAGTTCATCTTTGTTCAGGGATTCATTCAGGCTAATTTTCCCTTTTATTCCTTTGGACTTTTCTTCCTTCTAATTGATCCCTCATCTTATGAAAAATAGGGGTCAAGAGAGGGTAAATTTTAGGCATAAGACTATTCTTAATGGGTAAAATATATGAAGGAAAAAGGAGATTAAAACACTTTCTGATCACTTAATTTTTATAACTGAAAATTGGTATCCATATTGGTATGCTTATTTCTTTCATAACCAGATTGGCTGTATCTCATACCACGATGTTTACCAGCTATGGTGCAGGTGCTGTGCCCTAGTTGTTCTATAAACAGGCAGAACTTAACCTGGCAAAGTTTTCAGAAGAGAATGTTCAAGTTCAACATGGGAATGTGGACAGCAATCCAAAGCATAAATCCTTCATGGGTGCAGCCAACCCTTTTGTAAATGATCTAATCAACAGGATGCTTAAAACAATAATAGATTCAGTGTTAAGTAGAAGATCCCAGTCATTTATTTTTTTAAATATATTTTTATTGATTTCAGAGAGGAAGAGAGAGGGAGAGAGAGAGAGAAATATTAATGATGAGAATCATCGATAGGCTGCCTCCTGTTGGGGATTGAGCCTGCAGCCGAGGTATGTGCCCTGACCTGGTATTGAACCCAGACTTCCTGGTTCATAGGTCAATGCTTAACCATTGAGCCATGCTGGTCAGGCCCCAGTCATTTATGAAATAATAAATTATAACTAAAGGAAATTCAGAATTTAGGGAGAGAATTTACTTAACTTGCTGACCTTAAAAGAAACTTAGTAATGATGCCTTTCTCATATAAATAGAGGTTGTTCAAAGAAATTAATTATAAAAAATGTAATCCATTTCTAATAATGAAATTAAAATGTATTTATTTAATTTAGTTCCTCTGTCACATGCTTTGAGTTAATGATCAGAACTTTCAGCCCTAGCTGGGTAGTTCACTTGGTTAGAGCATCTCCTGATATACCAAGGTTGCAGGTTCGATCCCTGGGCAAGACACGTATAAGAATCAACTGATGAATGCATAAATAAGTGGAACACCAAATCCATGTTTTTCTCCCTTCATCTCTCTAAAATCAATTTTAAAAAACTTTAATAATATTCTAAAATTTATTTTTCATTTAATGGCCATTTGTTTGCAAGTATAATGGAGCAAGTCAGAATAATGCTTAGTCTATTATTAAAAGAAATAAGGTCTATTATGGCATTGTTGTTTTTAAATCTTATTTTGCATTTTTATAGATTAATTAGTCTGTATTTTTTAATAAGTATTTTAAGAACAACTTTAAAATTCTTAATAAGTTGCCAAGGCTTTAAAAAATGGCAAAAATTGCCAGTACACATTTGGGGCCTATTTTATCAAATGTATTAAAGCCACTAAAAATAGAATGTTTTATATTGTTTAACTTTTCAATTTTTGGATTAAGAAAACCCTTAGGCCATTTCAGATTTCAAAGCTATTATTTAAATTATTTTTTTGTTCTTTTTTAAGAACTAAAGCAGTGTCAGTATTATAAGAATGGACAATATTATTTTTTAAAATATACATATTTTTGATTTCAGAAAGGAAGGGAGAGAGAGAAAGATGGAAACATAAACAATGAGAGAGAATCATTAACAATGAGAGAGAATCATTGATCGGCTGCCTCCCGAATACCCCCTACTGGGGATCAAGTCTGCAACCCAGGCATGTGTATTGATGGGAATGGAACCATGACCTCCTGGTTCATAGGTCAATGCTCAACCACGCTGGCCGGGTGACAGTATTCTTTTCAACATAAATATGGGTAGGACCAGTATTAGTTACATAAAATTGTGAAGTAATTGCAGTTTGCCCTCTCCAGTTTCCTTCACCTTTCTTTTAGCATCAGCCCTATTTTCTCCTTTAATGCTTCCTGTGAGTAGCTTGCAGGTGGGGAATTTTCAGTAGGGGAAACCTGAAAAAAGATTGGTTTAATCATAGGAATGAATTATATTGGAATTTCAGGTATAAATGAGAGGAATACCCCTCAATCATACTATATTAGCTTTCTTAAGAGAAAGTGAAAATAAAGTAAAAATAAAACATTCTCATCGAGACTTTAATCCAGCCCTGGCTCAGTTGGTTGGAACATTGTCCTGTGGACCAAAAGGTCTCGGGTTCGATTCCCAGTCAGGCACATACCTAAGTTGCACATATGGGAGGCAACCAGTTGATTAAAAAAAAAAAAGGCTCTAGTCCAAAACTGTCACATCTGCATAAAGTACTTAAAATGATCCCATTTGCACTTAAAATATTTACTATTTCAGTTTAAACTGGGAGTATTTGAGAAAAAAATAAGAATGCCACTTATGATGAAATGGCAAGACTCTAGCCCCTAAGAAATTGTTTGCTATTTTTATTGATTTGTTGACGAATTTTTAATTTACCCTTATTTACAAATAATTAATTTCATCACCATCTTTGAAAATTTTATATTCCATTTACACCAGTCATATATATTTTAATAATTAACCAGCAAGTAAATTCAAATGATCCCATTAGTCTATTGCTTATGAACAAACTGCCACTTAAACCAGACGGTAGAAAACTTAGGTTGTAATTCTGTATGTCCTATGAACTCCTCAGAGTGTTTCTAGATTGCTTAAGATTTGAAAGCAACAAAACTTCTCAAGAGACAAATGGATAAAAACGGGAAGACTTGCTCTGATGTTCAGAGTTGGAGATGGTGACAGCATTGTGAGTCTCATCGGAAACTTCCATGCTCTCCATACTATGTGACCTCTTTATGGAAGAATTTAACGACAACACAGCCGGTGTTAGAAAGGCAATGTTTTTGAGTACCCTTCTTATGCTAGGGGAGCCAAAAGAGAAAAAAAATAGGGATGGCACTGAAGAGATGCTCTTACTGTGCTGTTAGTGATCTCGGCCCTGACTTTGGTGTTCATGTGTCACACATGTCTGGAACACCCATTTTAAATAAATATTGAAACTGTATTGGTCTATACATAGTGCTGTTTGCACAGTTGCATAATTACCAGGGGGGATGGGGATTATGCCTTGAACAGTACAGCTTTTACTCTTTCTGTTGCCATTCAAAATCTTGATCATTTTTGTTGTGATATGTTGACCTGCAACACTGGGAGAAAGAGAGAGCTGCAGAAACACCCACTTTATGAATTATATATAAAGCTCAAGAGCTCTACTAGCCTTTATTTAAACAATCATTCTACTGAAGAAAAGAAAAGAAAAGAAAAGAAAAGAAAAGGGCTTCTAGATACTAAATTCCTGCATTGAGCTCCATTAACAAATGTGTTTCTCTTTGTATCTGGGATAGGAGGTGCTTTGATCCCTCCTAGGTATATATTTCAATCTCAGTAACTTGGTGGTATATTGTGGTTCACATCTTCTCTAGCTATGTACTTTTTGTCAGATACAACAAATACTGTATTCAGTGCTAGACTCTGAATTTTCCTTCCTGATTTTGAGACAGTTCTGATATTGCTACCAAACGAATATACAGTGCATTTTTTTTCAACTCAATAAAGCTACTGCTTTCCTCTTCAGGCCGAGTGAGTGTGTGTTGTGTGAGAGTGTATATAGGTATGCAGATGTGTGTCTGCGTCACCACTTGTGTGTTTTGGTACACATGCATTTGTATATGGCTTTTCCTACCTTGGAAGCCACAAAACAAAGCAGTATAACTCTGTGATGAGAAAATAGACTTGACTACAAAATACCATCAACATGTGCAAACTGAGTTTTGGAATCTTTGATTTGGCATCTCCTGGAATAGTATGTAATTTGCAAGTGAAGTTTTCACCAAAGTAAAAACCCTTCCCCTTATTTTGCAGCTCTTTCCCTGCCCTCCCCTGTGTTGCAGGTTTGTAATGTTTGAGCACAATTCCTGGGTGAATTTCCTATTTGCCTCTGTGCGTGTTATTTGTGGCAGAGAACTGTGCCTGGTCAGCAGCTCTAGACCTGGAGCCCGTGGACACTATATGCTGGGCTTCAGTGGAAAGAGAGACCAGCTTAATTTTGTCCCAGGTGAAGGAGTCCAGCGGTTCCTAGCCTGGACTACGGGAAGGTTCCCACATCCTCTTTGCCCCATTAGTTGAGATGACTTGCAGTAGGAAATGTCCAGTGAGTGTTAAGAACTTATTGAAAGATGTCTTAGTTTTATAGTTTTGTTGTTAGCGCAAAAAGTGAGCATTTTTACTTCTATATTAAATGTTAAATAAATGTTGATTTAATATTTATATTCTTAGATGCTTAGCAAACCAGAATCAGCAGTTAGTTTTGAAAACTTTCCCTTAAATCCTTGGATTTTGGAACTGTGAAGTTGGGTTGGTGGAAACATAAGCTCTTTGAAATTCCTAGGTGGCAGAGCCATGAATTATAATCCTGAACAGCTAAATTTGAAATTGTCATTTATGAAATTTTAATTCTTTTGATGCAGCCAATTAAAAGGCACTTTTTAAAAAGCTGCTGCTGAGAATTTAAACAAAGGGGAGGTAGCTAATCTCCCTGGACAGGTAGCATCTGAGTAAATAAAACCCCTCTCTGCTCTTCCAATAATTTGAAAATATTACAGTGATTAAGCTCTCATGATTCTATTTTATAGTGTTTTGGAAAACTCTAGTTAACATTTGTAATACAGACATCACTGATACGCTAAAACTTATGTTATACAGTGGCGAATACAATTTAGCATTGCCCAGATATTGTTGCTTTGACACAACAGTTCCAAAATCAACAGACAAATGGGAAGATAGAACTATAAATGCTATTTCTCAGTTAACTCAGCATGGATATAAAAGGTTAAAGTAGGCTTTATTCATCTTTTCCCATTTTACTTTCCTGATTAAAGCAGGCATTTTAATAAACCGATTCGAATATATATCTTTCCAAAATGCATTGCTGGTGAAGTTTTAAAAATTGTCTCTTTAAAAAAAAATTGCCAAGATTGAGCTTCAATTAGTGAAATCAGTAGCACTTCATTTTTCCTAAATCTTCCTTTGAAGAAAAAATCATCTTTGGATTATCACCTGAATATTTTATGTAGGTGCTCTAAAGAATTAACCACATTACAAAAGACAATACCTGCTTTAAATGTCTTTATTTTATTTCATTTCTTCCAGTTTGATTTACTTTTTAGCCCATAATGTCACAGTATTCTCTCTTTGGCAAGGCTCAATGCACCTTAAATTTTTTTTAACAAGTGGTAATAAACTGAGGGCAGACACTGTCAGAAAAAGTCAAAGGAAGATGAAAAAAATGCAGTTAGGATGGGATGGGGGAAATCGTGGTGACCTCAAGCCGTGTAATGTTTGATTTCGTTATTGGTCACAGAAAATTAATATTCTTGGAATGCTCTGGGCTCAGGGCATAACCATGGGAGGAGCACTTGGCAGTGCCATCCTGCATTTGGACAAAGACGGATTGTGTTAGATCCTTGTGGTGTGTTAACTACACCAAGCTTATGGGAAACCAGAATGAATTTCATCCTTCCCCTCAATTTTCTCCTAATAAAATGATGGCCATAACTTTGTTTCATGGCTGGTACCACAAAGATAAACAGAAAAGGATATTAGTCTTTAACCATTTCAGGATTTTTTTTGGTAAACATTTGTAAAATTGAAATAGTTGTAGAAGGTAAGAACATAAAATATAGCCCTTGGAGAGCAAATGATATGCCCTTGGCATATTTTTTTAAAATATATTTTATTGATTTTTTACAGAGAGGAAGGGAGAGAGATAGAGAGTTAGAAACATCGATGAGAGAGAAACATCGATCAGCTGCCTCCTGCACATCTCCTACTGGGGATGTGCCCGCAACCCAGGTACATGCCCTTGACCGGAATCGAACCTGGGACCTTTCAGTCCGCAGGCTGATGCTCTATCAACTGACCCAAACTGGTTTCGGCGGCATATTTTGCTTAGCCTGTTAACTGATATTACTTCCACAGGATAGGAGTAAGAAATGAAAGAGAAAACCTCTGAGTCCATAGATTATAGAAAAGTCGGCTTGCCTGAATGGGCTCAGTAGACCTAAGCCATCCTAACTTATTAGTCAATCTAATTAAAATGTAATGCTTTTAATTCTGACACCTGATGTACACACAAAGGTGTCATAATAATGATCATCAGTTCATCTCAGCTCTACTTGTTATAAAGAGAGGCCATTTGGGGACAGTGGTGCATTATTTCCCAATTAGGACAGCAACTTTTTCTGTTTGCATGGAGCCTTGTTACTGAATCAAATACTTCTTTCTTTGCATGCTCTTACTTACATAGTTCATTTGCGTTTCACTGGCATAGCCCTAGTTACATTAAAGTGATACATTTCAGCATTAGTTTAACATGCCTGTGTTTTATTTTGTAATGAAAGTTTCATATCCGATCATTGGACTGTCAATAACTTGCACTCTTTTTCACAATGTTTACAGCAACCGTTATGACCTCTGGGACTACTGCCACAGTAGCCCTGTTGAGAGACGGTATTGAGCTGGTTGTCGCCAGTGTTGGGGATAGCCGGGCTATTTTGTGTAGAAAAGGAAAATCCATCAAGCTGACCATTGACCATACTCCGGAGAGAAAAGATGAAAAAGAAAGGTACCGCCTCCAACTGATGAGGATGTTTTTTATGTCTACTTCATGGAAATGCAACCTTGCATTTTAAACTGACCTCATGCTTAAATTTAACCGTGCCTTGTTTTTTGGTCTTAACTTCTTCTGGATCAGGATCAAGAAGTGTGGCGGTTTTGTAGCGTGGAATAGTTTGGGACAGCCTCATGTGAATGGCAGACTTGCGATGACAAGGAGTCTTGGAGATTTGGATCTTAAAAGCAGTGGTGTGATAGCAGAACCAGAAACAAAGAGGATTCAGGTAAGAAAGGACGTGTGAACACTTGCTACACATGCAAGGAATGAAAGCAGGTGTCTCCAGCTACAAGCTTTCTTGGAAACCTTAAGCGAAGCCAGTAACTTTTGAAAGGGAGTAATTAAGGGAAGGATAGAGAAACTTTCCGGGAAACATAAGATACTACCTTCCAGGCCCCCTGTATGGGATGTGTTTGGTTTTGGTGTCACCCACTGTGGAATTCTCGTAGAATGGCGCCCCTGCTCGTCCTCACCGGCACCTGATGGATCGTGTAGCATCACCGCCACTTGGAAGCTAACCTGACTTTCCTTTTCCATCACACCAAAGCATCGCGTTACCTCGGTTTCTGTGACATCCTTCGCCTGCTACTAATTAATGTCCACATTATCCGACACGTCCCAACATTTCCCTCTCTGCAACCCCTGTCCCACGCTAGTACCTGGCACAGCGTAGTGGAGGCTTCCAATGATGGTAGCAAATGTTTGTTAATTAACAGAACGATTTCATGCATGATAGATAGCCCACTTATACTTGTTTTCTCTAACAAATACTTATCCAGTATTTACTTTATGCCAGGCTCTGTTCAAAATAGCTACTACTGCCCCATTTTATAGAGAAAACAGATCTAGAGCATATGGAGCCCAACTTACCTCTGTTTGCTCAGCAGAAAAATAGAGGCAGGTTTCTAACTCGGTAGCCTGGCTCCAGAGACGGAGCCTTCCACCATTACAGCTTGTAGCTCCTGGCACCCTGCCATCTGGCTGTTTCCTTTGTGGTGTTACTAAGTAAATGTTAGGTTTGTCCTTGGTGGTTGATGCTAAATGTTGCTACTTTTGCCCTAAATACAAGCCTTCGATTTTCACTCTGTTTGCCTACAAGCTGTAAACACAGATGACCGCTCAGCAAACAAATCTTCGAATTATGAAGATTATTCCAAGGCTGAGTGTAGTTTATAATCCTATGAATTTGGTTTTATTGCAGCTACATCATGCCCATGACAGCTTCTTGGTCCTCACTACGGATGGAATTAACTTCATGGTGAATAGTCAAGAGATTTGTGACTTCGTCAGTCAGTGCCATGATCCCACTGAAGCGGCCCATGCAGTGACTGAACAGGTGATACAGCTGAGCTTCTGCTAGAAAAGTCCCCCTGGGGGAGGGTGGGGGGAGGGGGTGGGAGAGGACAAACCCAGGTGCAGGTTTTGGTACAGCCTGGAGCGGCCCCCACAGACTTGATTTCTTTGAATCTTGTGTTTCAGCTCCAGTGTACAATGAATTTTACACTTGAGTCTGTAATATTTCCAATTTAAAACATTTTTACACCCTAGCCATTTGGCTCAGTGGTAGTGTTGGCCTGCGGACTGAAGGGTCCTGGGTTCGATTCTGGTCAAGGGCACGTGCCCAGGTTGCAGGCTCAATCCCCAGTAGGGGGTGTGCAGGAGGCAGCTGATCAATGATTCTCTCTCATCATGGATGTTTCTATCTCTTTCTCCCTCTCCCTTCCTCTCTGAAATCAATAAAAATATATTTAAAAAAAAGCACAAACACAAGAAAACATTTTTTACAATTCTCCCAAATAGTTAATTAAAATTAATATGCCAAGAAAATGTGCTATGTTTATTTTTTGGCTTTGTACACATCTTGAAATAATAGTAGCAGCACATAGTAAATTATAATGGTAAATACTAATATTGCTTACTCTGTGTCAGATACTCTTCTGTTGATATGTACCTAGTATTTGACTCACTAATTATCACAGTGACTCTGTAAGGTTGGAACTAGTTTTATCTCTTTCTAATGAATGAGGGAAACTGAGGCACGGAGGTGAAATTGATTTAGTCAAGGTCACAGAACTATTAAGCTGCAGAATATTTGTTGTCTGTTGGGCTTCAAACTATAGATTAAGCAATTTGTATAGACAGCAATTTGGACAGCCAGTTTCCCAAGTCCAATCCCTTGACTATTAAATTAGACTCTCCAAGTCATTACCTAATATAGGAACACTATAGCATGTCAACTTCTGGTTTCTGAGGATGGGTGTGAAAAAAACAAATACCAAAAGGTGTGTGGATGTGTTGTATGTCACTCTGTTGGTCAGAGCTAAAATTTGGAAGCTGGATAATATCGGTAGAGAAAACGTAAAATTTCCATGTGTTGTGTAATATCTTTTTGGATAGCTTTTTAAGTTAGAGCCATCACCGATCATTAGAGGCACAGTTTAATTCAACAGCTATTTTGGCATTTCCAGATTTTTTTACATTTTCAATCCTGGAGTCAAATTTGGTCCAAATTTTTTTTTTTAGAGTTTAAAGTGAAAGCGAGTTTACTAGTGAAGCAATGGGACAGAAAGATGGCTACTCCACAGGGAGAGCTGCATGGCTCACATTTTAAGTATTAATATTTGTAATTAAGGCAATAAGATATTACTTAAAAAGCATTATTTGCTCAAAAATAAATGGGTAAGCATGAATGATTCACTTGGTTACTATGTGTGCTCATGAGATTAAGAAAACGGTCCTAGTTTCATTGATGATCACTTCCTTCCTAATTTTCAACTTCCTGTCTTGATATAATGTGTTCTAATTCATGAGGACAATGCAATTTACAATGACTGCACGGCATTCTACTATATTTGAGTACCACAAGTCCTTTAACCGTTCCCCTAATCAGCAAATTTAGTTCATATTCACCTTGCCCTTTTGTAGGGGGAACACTATAATAAACTTCTTATATCTATTTGTGCATATCTATTTTCTTCAGGTATTGTTTTCTTAGGTTAAAGTCTTATAAGTAAAATTGCTAGGTGAAGAATACACAGTATTCTAAAGCTTTTAATCTTTACCAATTGCCCTTCAGAGATATTCCAATTTACACTTTTCTAGTATGTTTTATAGCTTATATTTCTCATCAGTGTACAGCTTGCTTTTTCCATTATCTTATACTGGAGCAGTGGTTCTCAACCTTCTGGCCCTTTAAATACAGTTCCTCGTGTTGTGACCCAACCATAAAATTATTTTCGTTGCTACTTCATAACTGTAATATTGCTACTGTTATGAATCGTAATGTAAAATATCTGATATGCAGGATGGTCTTAGGCGACCACTGTGAAAGGGTTGTTCGACCGCCAAAGGGGTCACGACCCACAGGTTGAGAACCACTGTACTAGAGGCTCGATGCATGAAATTCATGCAAGAGTAGGCCTTCCTTCCTCCAGCTGCCAGCAGGCACCTGGGACCCGGGCTTCCCTTGCAGCCCCGGCTTCGTCCGGAAAGATGTCCGGTCTAATTAGCATATTATGCTTTTATTATTATAAATGTATGCTTGTCTTTTTCATGATTATTGTAAGAAGTTGCTATATACTAATTATAGTAGTACTTTGTCTGATAGTGCAATTTTTTTTCTGTCTTTCAATTTGTTTGTAAAACTTTTTTACTTTCTGAAGCTTGTTCATCAGATATTTTGATCAACCCTTTACTTCACAGTTCCAGCCTGAGGCTATGAGGTCTTTTGAAATACATTTGCTGTTAAATATAATCCCAAGTACTTCTTACCATGCTGATTATCTCATTTGCTGTTTGAATTAATTCCTGAAATTGATTTATAGTTCTCCTACTGTATGAAATTTAGTTTATGCCACCTTTTCATTTTGTAGGGAGCATAAACTTTCTTGTAGTTATAACTTTATACATGTCCACTTCCTTAGGTTATTATTTCTTTAGGCTAAATTCCTGGAAACAGAATTGCTAGGTAAGGACTAACCCCTTGTGAATCTATACCTTGTATAAGTTCCTATGCTAAATACTTGGCAGATATTTTCTTCTTCGGGAGCTGCATAGCTTATACCTTAGTCCACTGGTGTTTCTGTTGCCAAAATGGGTGCAGTGGAATATAGTCAGTGTGGTTGTTTTGGGTCATCTGTTATTCTACGTGCAATCTGATAAACTGGGCATTGACACCCGATGACTGATACTGCTATATGTATATATGTGTGTGTGTGTGTGTGTGTGTGTGTGTGTGTGTGTATAGCTTTTTGCTTATTTCTAAGACTCATAAGAAGGATAAATCTAAAACATTAAAGCATTCTATATTTCAACTTGCTATGTAATATCCTATCTATTAAAGAGGGAATATGCAAATTGACCCTCACACCATCACAAAGATGGTGGCATACGCAGTCAATAAGGAGGGAATATGCTAATGGACTGCCCCGCCCTCAAAGATGGTGGTGCCCAAACACTGAGATCGTGGCACCCAGTCCCCTGTGTGAAATCAGTTTGACTTGCAGGTGCGTGGCAAGGCTGGGCCCACCCCCAGGCAGGCCTGGCCACTCCACTAGCCTGCCTCCAGAGTCCCCCAGTCCCCTCAGCCCACCAGCCGCCCAGGGCCGGCCCAAGGTGCAGTCAAGCCTCAGATGGTGGCTGCCCATCTGCCCAGGACCTCCCAAGGCTCAGGTAACCAGGGCCGGCCGAGGCTTGCACTGCCAGCAGTGGCAGCAGCAGAGGTGTGATGGGGCATCGCCTTCCCCTGATCGTCGGGTCGCCTCCCATCCCTGAGGGCTCCTGGACTGTGAGAGGGGGCAGGCCTGGCTGAGGGACCCGCCTTCTCCAGTGCATGAATTTTCATGCACCGGGCCTCTAGTCTATATATATAAAAGCCTAAGCGACCGTTACAACCAAATGACCGGAACAACTGGAATGACCGGTCGACCAGTTGCTATGATGTGCACTGACCAATAGGGGGCAGACACTCAACGCAAGAGCTGCCCCCTGGTGGTCATTGCGCTCCCACAGCCAACCTCCCACGGCCTATTACCCCGTCCAGCTGGCCAACCTCCTGTGGCCCCTCCCCCCTGCCAGGTGGCCCCCTGATAGGCTCTGATCTTGGGGCTGGCTTGCCACCCTCCCAGGTTCCTTCCCCCTGGCTGGCCAGCCCCTTGATAGGCCTCAATTGCTGGCCAGGCCGAGGGACCCCACCCATGCACAAATTTGTGAACCAGGCCTCTAGTAGGAGTATAAAACTATACTTCCTTATATTTGCATGTAAGTTTGCTGTTAAAATATGAATCTCTAAATGTGTGTTTGGAATTATATCTGCAGTTTATTTCTGCAGACAGTGTAAATTTGTTATATGTGTTAGTGTACATCCATATGTATATTTTGCAGTAACATAAAATTTAAAGGGAACAATCCTGTGTAGCTCTTTCAACAGTTAGCTTTAAATTATTGATGTTTATATCTAGGGACTCTTGACAAACTGAGGGCGGATTTTAATAGTGGAGAATCAATGGTTATTAGCAGGTGAGGTAACATTAAAATGGCGGTAGGAGATATCTCATGATGGGTGATTAGGTGGAAAACCCAGGGACAGAACCAGCATGTTGAAACTATGTTGTTACATGGTAACTTGCCTATAAAATTGGATGTAGGGAAAGACTGGGTGTTAAGAATGCATGGTATTTTGCTGTAGAAACAAAAGAAAAACCAAAAAGATAAATTTGGTGTAGTATATATCTTCAACACTCAGTTTTGGGGGTTGACCTTTTTTCTTTCTTTAAGTTTTATCTGAAGGCTTAGTAGAAGGAAGAAGGCCCAACATATATTGTTCACATTCTCTCACCTTTTTGGGAATGGGAGAAAATAAATCTTGAGGTTCCCAGCTTATATTAATTAGGAGTTGTTCTTTGGGGGGAAAAAACAAACAATAAAGAAGTATCTCAATTTTTTTTTTCAAAGGAAGTTTGGTGAAAGAAAGAAAAATATCACAGGAAAGGATATAGTCTCCTACTTGTTGTCTGAGAAGTGAGGACTCCAAGGTAGACGAGGAAAGCTGGAAAACTTCCTTGTTCTTTTTGAGTCAGATCCATGGAACATAAATATGGGACCTACATTTCGGAGTATGGAGCATTTCCAAACTAACAAGGAAGTAAAAACTCTAAAGCACAAAATGATATTTAGAGATGTCAGTTTCATTTTTGTTTTGAATTCTTCACCATTTTTCTTTTACTTTAAAAACTGAAGGTGGGAGTGATATTAGCAAGTTCAAAGGTCTGAGTCACCAATGTATTGAGGTGGATTCCAGGTTTGACAAAGAAAAATTTGTAGGGTTGGTCAGGCTGTGCTCTGCTTCACCTCAGAAGCTTTTAAAACCCCAAACTGGTTAACTTGG